CTCTCCCTATAACATTACCAATGTTTCTCAGTGCAATATGAAGTGCGCAATTCACATCTCAGGTTCTTAATGCATACTCACACAAGCTCTTTCCCTATAACATTACCAATGTTTTCTCAGTGCAATATGAAGTGCGCAATTCACATCTCAGGTTCTTAATGCATACTCACACAAGCTCCCTCCCTGCAACATTACCAATGTTTTCTCAGTAATATATACAGTATGAGTGGCCGTGTTGTATCCGATATACAAACTCGAGGTGTAGACGAGAGTTTGTATATCGGATACAACACGGACACGAACACTGTAGATTGCTTATCAAACGTCCAGGTTAGTTCCTTTGTATTTCGCTAAAATTTTCAAAATTAAAGTGAATCTGCCCAAGAAAATCCAAGTTAAAGTTTATGCAAATGAACACGATTCTGTATCTGATTTACAGAACTCTTCACGGTCGTGATTTCTGTTGTGTTTTCCTCATGAATTATTAATGAGTTTGATAAGTGCAATATGAAGTGCGCGATTCATGTTTCAGGTTCTCGAGTACAATGGCCTTCCCATACTCTCGTTCGTTGAAACACACAGCAGTAGTATATATAGATTTAGTTAAACAGCCTTATACTTTGCAAACTGTCGTTTATACAATTTAGTTAATAGTAATCGTAGAATGATAAGTTATACACCGTAGTGAAAATAGTAACTTAGTTACTATTTTCACTACGGTGTATAACTTATCATTCTACGATAACTGTTTCATTAGAAACACCGACGCAGTCCACGCTAGTGTTTACTAGCCATCATCTACAAATTTAAATAATAGTTCATCTGCTACTCCTAAGACCATTTGACAACATCTGTAATTCCCATAAACATTTTTGCAAGAGTGATTATAATCAGTATGTCATTCATTTAATCACAAGTTTATTACAAATCATCAGATAAAAATATATACAATCATTACATTATTTGAATTCGATTTTAACTTACTCGATTATTATTCCGGTCAAAGTGGTTGTCAAACTAGCGTTAGTGCCAAGTTTATTCTAGTCTTTGATCTGAGTTAGCGCTTAGAACACCCTTAGGTCATACTGGGGTTGTTAGCATCCGTTCCATGTGTTCGGTGTTATACACCTATATTTCAAAACAAACTTTGTTTGTCGGAGATCTGAAATCTAAAATCTTAGACCGAGTAGAACAATTACGCTTTATTTTCATATCAAGTGTCAAAGAGAACGAAACAAACAATACATATATAGCTCAATGTAGCTCAATTTATTACAATCAAAGTCACATAAATACTTTAAAAAGTTAACATTTTATAGAGAAAGCAAAGCGAGCCATCTTCGATAAAACTACTTTTTACTTATAAATGAATTTTTGTTCACGCGCGCGTGAGGTGATGTTTTTCGTGCTCACGTGACCTCCGGTTTTGATATTTCCCAGTTAACAAAGCATTATTTTCCTCTCAGACGACTCGTCGGGAAACAGTCGAATTTCTTCGCGTTCACGTGATACATTCTCGACCAATAGAAATTGAGGGAAATTGAGCTTTGACACTTTGACACACACATATAACAATGCAAATTGTATTTTATTCACAGCCGAACAACGTAGTTTCCTTTTGGTTTTGAATATGAAGCTTAAACTTTGAGTTAGAAATGTGATTTTTCGTATTGCTACTAAACTACGTTTAGTCTCAGATCGCTCATTTCAGATCTCCGAGCGACAACGTTTTTTGTAATAGGTGTATATAGGTGCATAACTTTATGGATAGTGGAGTTGGAAATAACACAGGGGTATGTTACATGGGTTTACCAAATTACTAAGTTTTTCTAGATTTTACTTATTTAATTTTAACAAGATATTTTTCACTTGTCTAGTTATATCAACCAACATGGTCGCAATAGTCCCCTTCACAGTTCCCTGCGCCATCTTGAAAGGTAGCCGTGCCTTTGCATCGAAGCGAGACGAACGGTGAGCTTGCAATGATAGAGACATGCGAATAATTGTCCAAGGTGTTAAAAAAGGCCTTTATCATTGCAAGTTCACCGTTCGTCTCGCTTCGATGCAAAGGCACGGCCACCTTTCAAGATGGCGCAGGGAACTGTGAAAGGGACTATTATCTTCTGCTATTTCGTTCTCTTCCGCGGAATGATTGCAAACCATCTATATTTTAAATCTAACACTGTGACTCAGTTATTCCAAATGGCATCGGTTCTTAGGTTGAGAATTTTTAGTGTTACTATCAATCATACTGATTCTTTTAGCTTATCTCTAGCTTCACATGTGACTAGCACATGATCATGGAACACTGACAATCTCGTACCCAGAGCCTGCCTTTCTTCTGTCCTGCGGCGAAGAACGAGGCCCGAACGAGGGCTCTGACATAATCCATTTTTTGAGACCAGGATTTCTTGGACTTCCCTTATGAGAGCGCATACGTTAAAAGACTTGCCAAAAATAGAAAAATATGTTCCCGATTTCTAATTCTTATGTTGAGCGGAAGTATACACAGAACTCTGTTTGAAAGCAGGTTTGAAAGCATGATTTTCATTGATTATGTTTCACTTCCGGAAAACTGCGCATGCGCCAAAAAATGGATTATGCCAGAGACCTCGTTCTTTGCAGCAGGCCGAAAGGAACGCAGGCTCTGGGTATTGCAACACTGGTGACGAGATAACCGTACTGCGCATGTCCGAGTCATAATTACGTACGCGTATCAAAAACGGAAGAATGTTAGATTACGTCCCAAGTTTATTGACCGTCTTTTTTTCCAAGTTAAAAATTAAGCGCGTATATTTTCTCTGCGCAAAACGCGCTTTGTTAAAGCTACAATATCTCGAGATGCGGGTCAATTACTCTATATATATATATAGTTTATCTTTTAGAGAAGACATTTGTGTCGATAAACTAATGTATCTTAGATCAAGGGTAGATTTTACATGTCAGAGAATTATCATAGCACATTGTCCGCGTTTGTTTGCCGGTTTGTTTTTTGTTTTGTTTTTTGCGTTTCATTCATACATTTTCATTTCATTGATCTCATTCTCTTGGGAATAATTGCAAGCCACGTGTATAGTCTTTTAGCTGCAAAGGCTAAATCGGTAGAATAGAGTGCACACCATATATCCGTGAAAAAAAAAACTAACAAAATCGTACAACTTGGTGCAAAGTTGTGTAGGTCTATGGTTTATTGAGGTCTACTGTACTTACTAGTTTGTGCAATGTCTTACAAAGTTCTTCACAGATATATGGTACTCGAGTAGAAAATAGGCGAACTTAACTCTAAGTTCAACAAACAATAAAATGATATAAAATAAATAATAGTGAATAATGAGATTATAGATTTCTCTTCTGGCGTACGCACGTAAGATATAGACGTCATCCATGATTCGGCCTTTACAGCAAAGACGTTATTTGTGATCGTTGAATTGTGCGACGAAAGGACATTCGAACCTGCAACAGAATATAGAGAAATCTCAATAAAGAATATATGTAGGAAATCCTCTTTTTGGGCTCCCTTTGGCATTCGCGCAAACCACAGGCAGCCCAGTAACATTTGTTCTGTTCTCATTACGGAACCCAAATGACAAAACAGACTTGAATGAGAAAACGAACTCGACTACTGGAATAATTGAAACGAGAAATTCTTACCTCTTTATTTGAGACATAATTGAATGCAAAGATAAATACTCCCTGTAAATAAAATACAGAAGAAGAAATATATTCAAATGATAACGACTTGCTTTGGCTTACAATAACGATGGTATGATTTGAGAGCAAGCTGGCCATGAACCATAAAATTTTGAGAAAATGTAAAAAAAATATTTTTTAATTAAGTATTTTTATGTTCTACTGACCTGGAGGGAGTTAAAGATTGCGAAAAGATATTGAAAAACAATAGTATCGGAATTGACGCTCATAATACCAAAGAACCAAGTGAGACCCAGCAGTGGAAGCAGAATAGCCACTCCCTTGCATGCTAACCTGAGGGAACAAAGTTGTTACATTACTAAACTATATCTTTCCTTCCCTCCTTCCTTCCTTCCTTCCTTCCTTCCTTCCTTCCTTCCTTCCTATTGCTTGCTTCTTTCCTTTCCACTTCCTTCCTTTTTCCCCACCACCTTTTCATTTGCATACCACCTCTTTCTTCCTTCTTTTACCATGCCTTCCCATTATTCCTCAGCTTTAATGCTTTAATCCTTCCTGACTTCCATCCTTCGTTCGTTCGTTCGTTCCTTTTTTCATTGCTTGCTTCTTTCCTTTCCACTTCCTTCCTTTTTCCCCGCCTCCTTTTCATTTGCATACCATCTCTTTTTTTCTTTTTTTACCACCTCTTCCCATTACTTCTCATTTTTGATGCTCCATTTACCTTAGTTTTCCGTGTTTTTCTGGTCTCAGTGGATCGGCCTGAAGGGTCACCATCACCATTAATACTTTGATTAGAATAACAAAATTCGCCTAAAATCGATATATCAATTGATTAATATACACATTTATCGTTTGAAATATTGAGCAAATATTCGTGTAGTTATAGACCAAGGATTGCAATAAGGAATATATGAATTTATCTTTGGGGTAATCGATACAATATAAACGCTCTAACGTGCTGTGTACAGTCATAAAGCACGCGAGTGATCTGCCAATCCCCAAGTGCTTTATAATTACACACAGCACAGTAAGTAACTTTTTTATTTCTTTTATAAATTAGAAAGCCTTTATTTTGGACAAGTGAAATAAAAAGTGCGAGTGCGTGATTTGTGCTGTCGTAAAGCACGCGCCATCAACCAATCGGTGGGATTTATTTAGTTTAATGCAAGTGTCATTGATTTAGTTTTTTTAACAATTGGTTAGTTTGAGTGATCATCGATCTCCCTTACCAACAAGACCACGATAACAGGAGTTATGAAGGCCCATCGAAAACCCTTCTCTAGCGATAGCCAACACCTGATAAAATAAGAATAATACCATTAGGATATTGACGCTAGCAGCTGTAGAGTATGAGAGAAGCAAGCTTAGGAACACAAGGCGTAGCTGAGTGTATTTCTTGCTTCTCGAGTGCTCTACAACTCCCAAAGTGTTTATATCACAGTACATGACATAAGCAGGCGCTTTGTATTGCTTTTGTCAAATATTTTCGAACGATTTTGAGCGAGCGTGTCTATGTCCTCTGATATGAGCACGGTTGCGTTGCCAGCCAATCAGCGCGCGCGTACTGTTTCAAATATTTCATAAAATCTTATAGAGTAAATCAACTAGTAGACTACTATACAATTCGTGCATTCTGCATGATATTAGCTCCTCTATATTTGGTTTTAATAGAACGGAAAACTATCATAGCTATGACTCCTCGCGCGAAATCTATAATAAGTATCATCTCTTACCCTCTACTTGTGCCATATCCTTCTCGATTCGCGGCAAACGCAATGCCAACGATAACAAAGGGAAAACCTGCGAGAAAAAGTTAAATGAAAAGTGATTAAATGCGGTGTGTGGCTTGCGTATCGTCTTCGATCAATAAATGTAATGATTTCGACACATTTGATATGCCTTTAATCTGCGGACACACGGAGCACCATTGCTCTCAATGTTACAGGCAATTGATAGTTTTCAACCATTCCCAAGAGAATTAAATAACAAAAGACACAGCGGCCATGTTGGAGGATATAACAAAAGAATTCATTGACAATTCTTTTGTTGAGTTCCTCCAACATGGCCGCCGTGAAAACCATCAATAGATGAAGCGAACCATGTCACACGATACCAGTTGTTGCACGCAACGTTACTGGAGTTGAAAACGATCCTACTTCAGTAACACTGCCTGCAATATTGTGGGCAATGTTGCACCGTGTGTCCGCATTTAATTGATGTTTGACGACGCTTGTGTTCGACGACGCACACTTAACATGAATTTTGGCACAGTTGTGGAAAATATGCTTTGGACGGTAATCGATACGGTTTAAAGATTAGCTAAATGCCTTAAGCTCTGGGGTTGGATTCCGGGACCCGGTATCACGTTCAAGTACAGTTTCTTAGGTCTCTCCCTTGATTCAAAGGTTTATCTTCGGTTTTCTTCCCTCCGTAAAACCCAAGTTAATTTAAATCCCAATTCGATCTGTGAATTAGCCGTGCCCTGACATAGGTCAGCCAAGAGGTTGTTTCCGGCAAAGTATCGATAATGTTTTTCGATATATATATATAGGTTTTCTTTAATTTTAAGGCATTACCCCATGCAAATAGAAAATACAGCCTTTCTTTGACGTTCCGTACTTGATACGCGATGACCACCTTTTGATACAAGTGAATTCCTTCAACCAGCATCCACATGAATGCCGCTGTATAGAAGTAGTGCAGGACTATCGCTATTACCATGCAAGCTGCCTGATGACCAAACCAAAACGAAACACGTTTAGTTTGTATTATTTTTGTGATTTCACAAACACCCTAGCACCTTGGATACGCTTGTATTGCATGGATACCACAGCGGGCAGTAGATAGTGTGGTTAGTTGGGCGATGGGCGTGGCAGCCTCATGGCAGCCAAGTGAGAATAGAGGAGGCGAGTCTGTAGGCGCTTATTAGTAGTTGATTCGCTGTACCTTATTCTTAGTAGAAGCGCGCAGTAGATAGTATGGTTAGTTGGGTGATGGGCGTGGCAGCCTTAAGGGTTACTCAAGAAAATGGAGGAGGTGCCAGAGAGATTGTAGTTTTTTTGGTTCTTTTTGGTCTATATAACTAGCTCGATTTGGCCTACCTTATGTTTAATAGCAGTAATACCAGCAAGAAATAAAGCTTGTGAAGCAGCCAACGCGATGCACAAGTGAAGATGGATCAGAAATCGTGTTTCTTTCAGCCTGATATCATGCAAAAGAACAATATTTAATAATTTTTATATATCATTGTTTCTTTACTTGTATGATGACCGAGTTCTTACGAACGAAAAAGCTATTTAAATGACAACACTAATATGGAGAGGAATCTGTTGGATTGTATGATGACCGAGTTCTTACGAACGAAAAAGCCATTTAAATGTCAACACTAACATGGAAAGGAATCTGTTCGATTGCAGCGGCTCATTAGGGAAATCATTTAATAAGCCTGAAGCGAGATGACGTTTTACCACCGTCTCTAGGCCATAATCCTTTTCATATTGCTTTTGTTCTTTAATTATGACTATTGTTCCTGTATTCTCTAAGGAATCAAAAATTTTRATATGAAAGAATTTTAAAAACTATTATGGTATAGAGTCGGGGGTAAAACGTCATCTTGCTTCAGGCTTATTGACCCATCTTTGTAAGAAGAAACCTTTTAAGTGCACCGGCCCAATAGGGGGGAGCCATTTAATTGACCCGTCTTTGTAAGAAGGAACCTTTTAAGCGCACCTGCCCAATAGGGGGGAGCTATTTAATTGTCTCGTCTTTGTAAGAAGGAATCCATTTGTGACCCGGATAAATGGGAACCATTCTATTGGCCTAAATTTGTTAGGAATCCATTTGAGTGCAAGAGACTTTTTAGTGGGGAAGCCATTTTAGTGGCTCTAGAGAAACCATTGGAATTGCTGTAGAAGAGAAGCGCACAGGATTTTGTCAATCGTGAAAGAATTTACCTACCGCATAAGTGGGATGGTTATTATTGTGATAAGCAAACACAGCAGAGATAACGAACAGCCAGATAATGTGATCGCTTGAAGGGCATACTCATGTTCACGTTGTATCTGGAGAAAATCACCAGAAGATAACGAATTAGGCAATAATATAGTCTCTTTCGCAAATACAAATTCTAGCCTATGCAAAAGATCAACCATTACTTCAATTTACTATCAAACTCAAACTTCTATTTTATCGAACCCTGAAACAACCTCTGAACTAGTCTCAAACCAGAAAACATTAAATAACATCGATACCTTGAAACAACCTAATGTAAAAACTCAAGAACGACTTGTCTTAACGCATAGACCGAAAGAATGATAAGTACAGTCACTCGCTGAAGCTTTTCACGATTTTCTTTTAAAATACCTTCAAATTTTATCGATACCTAAAATAGTCTAGGAGGAGGAACCCTGAAAAAATCTTGACGTAGCACGTGTACTACATACTTGGTCTGACAACATAAATAGGTGCACCAATGTCTGTGGAACATTTTTAGATACGATGTACTAAGAAATCGGTGGGACATCGTTATGCTAGGGGCTGAAATGTGAATAGCATTATGGTCCCTCAAAGTTAATGAATTATCTTACAGCTATTTATAACTCACTTTAAACTAGTACAACAGCCCAATAAATAGTCCTAACAAACTCAAAGTTGGCCAAAGTATCACTGACACAAATACCTTTCTAATTACTAATTGTTATTGCAGTCTGCAATTTCCATGGTAACCGTTGCTATGGGCTTTTAATCTGCCTATTTTTAACATAAGATATGGATATTTTTTGATGTAAATACTGTGTTTTTTGGTGATTTCAACTGTTTGTGGATTTATTTCTCAAATTATGGCTAAGTTCAAACGTTATACATCGCAAATTAAGCATATAGTTTCTAGAAATACTCTAATTGTTCCTTAGCAACGGGTAAACTAATCAAGTTACGTTTTGCTTATCTAGCATTTCTGCTCAAAATTACTTTTAAAAAATTAAACAGATGTCCGCCTATGCATTGTGGTTATAACCATTTCATAGTCTTTAATGACTTTCCTACCTATGAAGGTTTGTCTTGATACATAATGCGATGAAATATATTAAGCGCTAACTTTGTTAAGCTGAAAAACAATGTTTATATAATATTACAAAAATTGATCATCTGGAAAGTTTTTTTTAACACGAAAAGAACGTGCATCATCAATTGGACACCTGAAACATTCTTACTATGTTCTGGTTGGATGAGTATTTTTATTCATCTGTAAGTTCATCATCAGTGCTTTCCATTGTTGGATCTGTTGGCTTGTAAGGGTTTTGACAGCTTTCATCACTCATACAAAAACACGCCTCAGTACAAGGCATCTCATTTGCTTTGCATGAACAGGTATCTCTTGTGCAAACAGATTTGTTGCATCTACATGTTGTAAGCTCAAGCAAAGACTGAGGAGCTGGATCTTTTGACATCAACTCTGGTTCCAAATTGCCATCTACCTCTTTCCAGCCATTATTTGCGGAAGGTGATGGTAGCTCTTGCACTGACTGTAATGATCGTTTCCACACGTATGATTGATAGTTAGCTCTCTGAATGTGGTGCCTCAAACTGTTGCTGGTTGGTGGAAGCCTTTCACTGCTCTGGTGTTTTTGGCAGAACATCCAGTATCGCACCTCATCAGCCATTGTTCCTGCTTTCTTGGATGTTGTGTACATCGAGCAAATAAAGCTCTCACAACTTTGGATAGTGCGATTTGAGGGTGGAATGATGGTGCCAAGGTTTCCAACATGATCTTGAGAGTTGTCATCTTTAAGAAAAGCCTTCCACGCTTTCTTCTTCCCAACTTGAAACAAACCACTAGTTGAGTCACAGCCAGTAAGTGCATGGAAACCTGGGAGGGCAGAACAAACACTTTCACGAAGCTTCACTGCAATGGCATGGACTGGAAGAAAACGCACCTTGTCCTTCATACCAGTCTTGAACCATAGTTCCTGGCACTGCATGTTGTGAAAAAAATGGATGGATAAAACAGCAGCATCAGTATGGTGACTGAATCACAATTCGTGCTGTGCTGGTTGAAGCATGGGAGGCATGGAGAATCGTTCCGGTGTCTGTCTCCTCGTGGTCAGACTTCAGCTCATCCAAATTATGACTTCTTCCGTTAGAGATCATTACTGCAATGGTTGGGTCATTAAAGCCCCCTCCAATTATCAGCTCCTGGTCACGTCGTAGCTTGCGCTTAGCCATTTCACACCACTCCTTGCACAAAAAGGAAGAAAGATTGACTTTATTCTTTCTGTTGCTGATGAACTTTTGCCACTGTTTTGGTACTGGCGTGTTTCTAGTTGTAATCTTTATCTCAAGGGCACTGCTTGACCCTCGCCTTAGCCTTTCACTTTCTTTAATTGATTGTGGAATATCATAACGGTCAAACACCACATCCACTCTCTTACAGAGCCCCTGTCGTCAAGGTGTGGTCAGGAACCTGAAACACAAAATTATCCAAAAAAATACATCAGCCAGATAACTACTGACGTGGTATAACTGATCGTATATATCTGATCAAATGTGTACAATTTATGCTAACCCGAAATGATTTTCAGCAAGGTCTCCAAATGTGTGTGCACCTCCGGACCTAAGCATTTGGATTACTGCCATGCCATCCAAGATAAATGCAGTTGAGATATCAGCTTGAGGAAGACTTCCCTCTGGCGGATGCACACTTTCTATCTCGGACATTAGAACGCTTTTGGTTGTCTTTCTTAGTGTTCCATCTCCATGTGCTAATGAAAAAGGCACTGTTGAAAGCTCATAACTCAAAACCTCTTTAAGGTCTATGTCTCGAGATTTTGCTGCAATCAAAAGTCTTCCGAACAAATTACGATCAGCAGAAATTGTGATGATCTTCTCGTCAGAGCACTTGATGTGAGCAGTTTTTGACAGAGAGGCAAACGTTTTTATGTTTGCATTTTTCATTTTGTTCCAGAAAGACACTTCACCGCTGTCAAGACGTTCACTTACAAATGACTTTGCTTGCTCTTTGCCATCTTCAAACAACTTAAGTAGTCTGTCAGCTGCATCAGCAGGCATCACTACGCCAGTAGCAATGTTTTGTAATGGAATGAGGTCAGGATCATCACTCGTCTCAAAAGGATTTGACATACTTGTACTTATTGTATTCAACAACTTTCTGACATCTTCCTCATCTCTTTTGACCCTCTTGGAACCAGCCTCTTTGTGATGTCCAATCCTGTCGCAGTCATCCAGGTTGCAAAGTCGTTTTGTTGCAGATGTTATTGCAGCTCTCTGATGACTTGTAAGGAACCATCTTTCTAATGCTGATGCATTCTGTGTCAAGCCTACAATGCCTCCTCCAGTCTTACTGTCCAAATTGATCGTTTGCTCTAAGGCCATATCTGTCCACACTTGACTGAATGGGAGCTGTGACCTGCTCACTGGGTGATTTCCATTTAAAAACTCGTTGTGGACTTCTGGGGCACTTGAAGGTAACAAGTGCATATCTGCAACATAAACTGGTAGCCACCTACAATAAAAAAGAAAAGTGATATAACATGCACTCGTGGAAGAAAATTAGCTGTCTGTAAAAAGGCCTTACCTGGAGTAGTTAACACGGTCCATGGAAAAGAAATATGGTATCATTTCTGACACAGAGTTAAGGTGGAGCTCCCAACATCCATCCCTTTCCGCTCTAATGAAGCGTAACAGCAGCAAAACAATGTCGATGTACATGCTCCAGAACTTGAACAGCTTAGACTTTTCACAGGCTTGCTTGCAAAACCTTTCGAAGAGAGGCATAACATCAGAGAGATTGTTACAGAGCTGATTGAAAGAAGTTGCCAGTGAGCTATCATCTGTGGCAATAGAACTTTGACAGCTGTTAACCAATGCAATGCATCGACCCTCTGTGAATGGTGGTAGATCTGTATCTGTATCAACTTGGTTGGCTTTCATCCATACCCCAAATGCTTGCCACTGGAGTCTTAGCAGTGCCTCTACAACTAACTTGTGAGCACGCACCCCTCTATTGTAGGACTTTCCGTTAAGCAATGCCGCTGCACTATTGCTTCCATAAATACCTGTGGTTTAATAGTTTATAGCTATTATAAATTTATATTTCATAGTTTTTAGATATCTATATATGTATTTATAAAATAACTGTTATGAATGTCGCGTTCTGATTGGTTTGGAGCGCGTGCTTTATGAGAACACATTGCACGCGTGCGCACTTTCCATTGCCTCATTCCTAAAGTAATGTATTTTACAAAAGAAATAAAAAACTTGCTCACTGTGCTGTGTGGAGTTATAAAGCACTTGGGGATTGGCAGAACAGTCGAAAAGTGTCGAGAAGCACTACGCTACACATCTCCTAACACTTCTCTCGTGTTCTGCCAACCCCCGCGTGCTTTATAACTGCACACTGCACGCGCGTGCATTTTCCATTTCTTCATTACATATTATTAAGTGTATAAAAGTCACTTACTTACCAGACTCTATCAATAAATCTCCAAGGCCACTTTCCTGATATATCTTCCCAATGTCAGCTAGAAAATTGAGTGCAATATGAAAGCCTCCAAGTTGGATCACTGTGTTTAAGAACTCTTCAGGTTTTCGCCACTGTATCTCCTTAGCCTTTATATAAATTGCAAGATCAAAAGTAATAACACTATGCTTTTGACTCAAAGCCTCCATCATTGCTTGGACATTCTTCATGACAGTGTATATGGTGGTATAATCTGTAGCAGATCCGTTGATCATTGGACAATAGCCAATAGATGTTAATGGTGGCGACTAGTTTGAGATCTTTGCGTTGAACCACTCCAGCTTGGTATGGACTGAGTAGGATGTGGCGTGGGTGAGGTATTTAAGTCTACACTGAACAACTTGTTAGTGCACATACATGCCAGAAACCAGCCAATGTCCTTCCGTTGAGCTGAGGAACCAACAGGGCTTGTTGAATGAAACCACTCCTTCTGTATAATACCCTTGTAAAAGTTTACTGTAGGTCGTCTGCCAGATGCACTGAATTCTTTGAGATTCGATGCTGCTGCTGGGGTGCTCAGTGATCGCCTCTTCTCTTTCTGGTTAGAATGTACTACTGGTTTTGGCTTTGGTCCATACTGCTGTCTCTGATAGAGGACTAGAGTAGTGGCATGGGTGGTTTGCTTGCCATCCAGGGTCTCTTCGTTAAGATCATTGTTATCGCCTGCTGCTTGAACAAACACACCAGGTGTTATGTTCGATGGAATAACAGCACCTAGATTCTCTGTTTGAGCGATAATTTCTAGGGCCAAACTAGTATCTACTACTTCGATGTCGTCATAGGAACAACTGTGACCAAATCTGTTAAGCATTCTGATAAGCTGCTTGGATCCTGTCATGTGGCGAACTGACATTGCAAAGCCAATGCGTGTAAGGGGTTTTGATTTGACCATGCGTTGTGGCATAAACCATATCTTGTGCAATTGCTAGTATGCGTCTTTCATCTGATGAATTGCAGAGAACGGGATCTACTGGATCTTGATTTGATATCAGTATAAAAAGAAATCTGTAAATATCTGCTGGTAAAAGAGCTTTTGCATTACAAGGGGTCAATTCCTCGACATTAACAGGCTGTATATGCATGCTTTTGCTTTGATTTCTGATACTTTTTCTCACAAAATGGGCAGCGTGGTATATCAGAGATCTTGCATCATAGTCGTTATTTGGCATTTTGTCAGTTTTAGGAATATGTGTCTGTCCTGTACTTGAACTTTTTRCAGCAGCATTTATGATATCTTTTAAAGATATAGTACTCGAGTACGCGAGCTCTGGCTTTGAAGGGTCAGGTAGTTTATGAAAGGTGATTTGTTCCCTGAAACTTTGTTGGAGCCTTCGTTTCAATCTCTCTGTTGTATAACTTTGTGCAGTGGTACTACCTAGACTCTGTAGAATTTCTTGATAGGATTCCAAAAGATTTTTCATATCCAGTGCTTTTCCTGATTCTATTTCAGACGTGATGTTCTCTGCAAGTTGTTTGTAGGCTTTCGTATAAACATCTTCCTCAACTTTTGAGTCAATGTAACTTAAATTAGATTTACTTACATACTGTGACCTACAATTTTTGTGGTACAAATCAATACCATTCATATTAATCAACAGGTTTTCATCATTTCTAGCCTTTGCTGCATCCTCTATTGCCTTGCAAGAGTCGAATGTTGTGACGCTCAACAGCTTTACACAGCCCTTGTTTTTTTTCATCTGACAGAACATGCAAAGTGACCAATCAATTGGTTTTACTTGTGATCTTGCACTTATATTTCTCGATTCTGTATCATCTTTAATTTCATTTTCACTTGAGCACTGCTTGACAAACCCAAGGTTTCTTTTGCTTGTGTAACTTTGATAACATGTCCCATGCCATTTGATGTTTAGTGTGGATAAATCATCGCTATCCCAGTTAATCCTTTCGTAAGTGGCATCTTGCCGTATAAAAGCAGCTTCTTTGAATGCTTCCAGTCCAGTTACAGAAGAACTTCGAAGGTTTTCACCAAGATAAGTTCCTTGACAGAAGATGCACTTACTGAAATCTCTTTGCTTCGATTTCTTTTTTGGAGGTACAAGTCTTATTGCATTCTCGTCGTAAGCTTCATCCATTATTAAGTTTTTTGAACTATATATGAACCAAAAAATTTTATTAGGCAAAAGATTCTTTCCTTGTAACTGCTACAATTTGTAACTGTTAAAAAATGTTAAGGTAAAGCAATTTTTGGAAAGACTTACCCTTTTCATTCTGCAAAATCCAATGGTGGTTCTAGAAGCACTGGCAGTACCAATTGCATTATGGGAATACCAAATGGATCATGGGAAATGTTTATTTATTCAGGGGGCTCACTTCTTTAGTCAAAAATAATGGAAAAAAATTATATATTTTATACAAAGTTTAATGTAATTTCGAAAATGTAAAAATAATTAAAAATTAACGCTTAAATTGAATAAAAAGAGCCTGCTATGTTTCAATGGTTTTGTATTGCAAAATTTCAATAGTTGATATGGTAATTCATAGTCAAAAGCTTTTCTGCAATTGGTTCTAAGATGTTGCCAACATAGTCAGACTCCACATAGCTACCTCCACAATGCATTGACAGACAGCTGTTTAATTTTTTAAAAGTAATTTTAAACAGAAATGCTAGATAAGCAAAACGTAACTTGATTAGTTTACCCGTTGCTAAGGAACAATTAGAGTATTTCTAGAAACTATATGCTTAATTTGCGATGTATAACGTTTGAACTTAGCCATAATTTGAGAAATAAATCCACAAACAGTTGAAATCACCAAAAAAACACAGTATTTACATCAAAAAATATCCATATTTTATGTTAAAAATATGCATATTAAAAGCCCATAGCAACGGTTACCATGGAAATTGCAGACTGCAATAACAATTAGTAATTAGAAAGGTATTTGTGTCAGTGATACTTTGGCCAACTTTGAGTTTGTTAGGACTATTTRTTGGGCTGTTGTACTAGTTTAAAGTGAGTTATAAATAGCTGTAAGRTAATTCATTAACTTTGAGRGACCATAATGCTATTCACATTTCAGCCCCTAGCATAAYGATGTCCCACCGATTTCTTAGTACATCGTRTCTAAAAATGTTCCACAGACATTGGTACAACTATTTATGTTGTCAGACCAAGTATGTAGTACATGTGCTACGTTTGGCATTTTCTAGGCCTCTTTTGAGAATCTCCTCCTAGTCTAAAACAACCAAATTCAAAGATTGAATTGGAATTTAGCGTATTATGCTTTGTGAAGGAAGGAAAGCCTGAGAACCAGGACAAAAACACTCGAATTAAGAGAGAGACCAAAGATTGAATTTGAATTTCGAGTATCATGCTTTGCGGAGGAAGGAAAATACCAGGAGAACACATTCGAGGGTCCTGAGAGACCTAACAATTTGTACTCACATGTGATGCTGAGTCCAGGAATCAAATTCGATACCCCAGAGGTGAGAGGCAAGTCCAATGCCGTTACACAACCATTGACCTTTCCCAAATGATAAATGAAACACAGATATTGTATACTCACCTCGAAGTCTGTTATTTGCATTAGAACAGCGAAACTGGTGAGGTGATTGGTGCGGCACGTAAAGTAGTCCGTACTGTTCTGGAAACTGTCAGTAGACAGACCCGCTGTTGACCACGCCCCTCCAAATGTTAAGCTAACGATTGAAAATGTAGGCCATTTGAATGTATCCCACAATGCTTTGTTTTCTGCTTTTGACGTCAAACTTATTTCTTTTACATTAAATTTATTCTTCTCACGTGAAATTTATTATTCTTACGTCAACTTTATTCTTACATCCAACTTATTCTTTTTGCGTCGAATTCATTCTTCTCACGTCAAATTTATTCTTTTCAATTTCATTGCAAAACAAAATTCAAAATGATAAATTTGACGTCAAAAATAAGGCATTGTGGGATTTATTTTTAAAATGTCTGTAGACCTTTCTTGGTTTCTCTTGAGTGACTACAAAACAATTGTTTCAAGTCGAGGTTGGATTTGATAAAGTACAGTACATGTATGAACACATCAAGTCCGACCTCGATTTGACATTGTTTCGTGGTCACTCAAGCCTATCCAGGAGAGATCTATTGAAAGGTAGTTTTTCAATGTATTATCTAATTTTTGTTGTTATTAATCTTACCTGGGGCTTTCCTTCCAGTATACACATTCAGGGTTTGTGCGGGCTTGTAAAGCGGGCTGAAAAAATATCAAGACATACGAAAAAGCGTCAAAACACGATAACCTTCTGAAAACCGCATTTTCTTTTTTACACAAGTTTATTCTCGTACTAATACTTTGCGCGGGCTGAAAAAATATCAAGCCATAGGAAAAAGCGTAAGCAAGATAACCTTCTGATAACAACATTTTCATTTTACACAAATTCATTCTTGCACTAATGTCCCCATTTTCTGTCCAGTGGATTAAACTATGGACCTCTTCCACCCTTCGCTGAAGGTGGTGCCTAAGATACAATCAATAGACATCGTTTGCGGTTTCACATACACCTATTTCAGAAATCGTTGTCGCACCAAAAGCCTCAAGCAACAAGCCAAGACCGCAGAGAACGCCGGTACTTTTAGCTGTAATTAGTTTATTCATGGTGCATTTTCATTTATTGACTTCACAAATTGCTCCAAGCAAGGCTGCTTGAGATAATTAGCCACTCGTTGGCTTGTTACTTGAAGCTCTTGGTGCGACAACGATTTTCGAAATAGGTGTATATGTCAGAATCTTTACCAGATGAATAATGAAAGCTTTCAACCGAAAATGGAAGATAGAGCATGATGAAGAACAGTGTTTGCTCGTCCTTGTAGGTTCGATTAACGAAGCTTATTCTCTTGATCCACAGACATTCCTTACCTGTTCTATCATCTTTTTTAATCGTATTGTTCCATTGATCTGTTTAATAAGTTTCCCATCTTGTAGTGACACGATCGATACTACAGGTGATACTACCGATGACAAGTTCGTATTGAAACTGTTGACACAAGACAGAACTAGTTAGAATTAATACAATAGGAGCGCATCCATAATGAAAGCACAAACCATAATAATAATTCAAAATCAATTAATGATAGTAGCTGTAGTAGTGGTGTATATATGTAATAATGATGATGTTAAACAGTACATAGACCCCGCACTCTAACGTGTATGTCGCTTCTTTTGAATATAACGCACGCGATAATACACTCAAACACTAGGAAACTAACTATTATAAAACGATGCTAAATTACTTTTACATGCGCGTGGGGACGCCAACTTCACAAATTTGCAAGATGTGATCCTATTGGAGGGCGCACATGTGTAGAACAATAGAAAACAATGACCTTTCCCCAGCCCCGCCCCTAAACCTAACCAATCACAGGGGGCGTTGCAAATTCGTGAAGCCTTATCCGGGGGGTTCTGTTTCAGAGAACTTTTTCCCAAGATGGTATCTTTTTCGTCCCCTAAAACAGAACCATAATGCAATGCAATGCCAACTCGATCGGCCCAGTTTTTTCCACAACCTCGGAATGGCTTATAGATTATCAAATTGTCGAGCTCTCCTTCGGCTGAATTACGCGTCTTGCATGTCTAATCGAATAATGACCGTGATATATTATAATGGGCCATAGAGTAATCAACCAATCAGGAGTAGAGCAAAATGCAAATTTATTGCGTCACTACTGATCCACGCATGCGCAATTGAATTATTCATTAAATATTTAATTAATAATTTAATTATTTCCCATCAATATCCACTAATTTCCTACCTTGGTTTTTGACCCTGATTCATTATCGCTGGGAATATATCATTAATAGTCTTGTAAAGTATCGCAGCAATACTGGAAGGTCTTGGCGCTATTCCTTGGACGTTGCTATCAAAGATCATAGACGAGTCTGTAGTGTTGGAATTGAAATGTAGCGATAGTGCTTCATCACTTGAAATATTTGCAGCGATATCTGATCGAAAAATAGAAAACATCGGTGGTTTGCAGTCGAAATATGATTTATCTATTTTAAATCAATCATGCATTGGTCAGTCTCCTTAGTCAGAAACCCATGTCAAGGGCTCAGAGTAGAAACGTTTGTACTTGCGCGCGCATCCTATTACGCGTTACGATGCGAGCGCAACGATTGAGCGCGTTATTTTGGGGAATTCCGCTAGATAATTATTACAGAGAGCAGCATAAAGCACTACACATGCCTTCAAATCCTTGGTGTGTTCAATCATTTGGTGCTGCGTACATCGCATTTGTGTACAAAAGACTTGGGAGTTATCCGCTAGATCCGAGAGGCATGAGGGATTTACGCGTACACTAACGTTTCTCCACCGAGCCCTGTGCTTGCCGATAATTTTGGACATTAGGCTATTTAGAAGTTAATTTTCTGGGACGGACGAAAACTGGAAAAATTGAAACAAAACCTCATCTTGCATCCGACTATGAGTCAGCCGCCTACGCAGACGTTCATGGGTTCGTCACGCAACGTTCCTGGTAATAGAAATCTTGCGTGACGACGTGACCACCCTAAAAAAGTCTGCGAGGAAGGCTGATCATGAGCTGCGCTTACCTATATTTAGTGTTTGGAAGCTGTAGTTTGTTTTATTTGTGAGAGATAGTGAGCGCAGAGTCAGCACAGAGATTTCTTGCACCATTTCGACAAGGTACTGAATCTTTAAACAAAAAAAATCACTTGGGTTACAAGTAAAAGATGATAATTCCAGTAATAAAAGCAATATTTCATGGACTCGAAAGAGTTCTACGGGTTACTTTAGTAAGGCGGTTAGAAGTTTAGGTAATAAATATAGAAGTATAAGAGGAAGAAGGAACTCTACGAACCTTTGGGGTTTCCTTCCAAAGATCTTTGAAGTTATCACCAACTATTCTGCTTAAACTTCCCATGAAGGATTCTTGTAGCCGCTGAAAAATATAACGAATACTTGATTACTTATCCTAATGTGTAATTTCATGGAGCATTGTGACATGACATTCGTCCCTCTAAAGGGATTCACAGTGAATCATTCAGAGTTTAGGTTTTTAAAAATCAACGCAAATTTTATAAATTGATATTTTTTTACGAGTAAGGTGTCGAACAGAGCTGCAACAAAAAAATTTATAGCAAAGTTTTTTTATACATAAATGTAGAAAGTTTTTGAGTCCCGCCAATCTCGTACCCAGGAAAGCGTTTTAGTCTTCTGGCCTGCGGCGAAGAACGAGGGCTCTGGCATAATCCATCTTTTGACACCAGGATTTCTTGGACTTCCGGTATAAGAGCGCATACGTTAAAAGACTTGCTAAAAATAAAAAAATTTTCCCCCACTTTTAATTCTTATTTCGATCGAAAGTAAACCCAGAACTCTGTTTGAAAGCAGGTTTGAAAGCATGATTTTCATTGATTATATTTCACTTCCGGAAAACTGCGCATGCGCCAAAAAAATGGATTATGCCAGAGCCCTCGTTCTTTGCCGCAGGCCAAAAGAAATGCAGGCTCTTGGTACGAGATTGGAGTCCCGCCCATTCCTTTTTATTTGCGTCTGCGCCCTTCTCGTTTGGCGGAAACCAAAAGGAACACGGAATCGAAAAAAACAATTATTTTTTTCCATATCACGTAAATAAAGATAATGCACAGTTATTTAGCCTTGCTTAATTACTTTACTCGTATTTCCAAGTACATGAAATCTTCTTTAAAGCGGGATTAAGTCCTTTATAGATTAATTCCGGAAAAGCGAATGGTTTTCAAATCAAAGCTGACTGTTATTTGATTACCAACCTTGAAAACATCGAAGCTCTCGTAAATTTCCGGTCGTCCAAATACGCTCATGATTTCTTTAATTATCTTGAGTATTTGATCGATATCAAAACAATCATCCAGTTCCTTTAACATTCGCCGTAGAGCAGCTTTGCTGTCTTCTGTTTCGTTGTTTTTTGTATAGATTTTTCCAGTCTGTCGACATAGGTGAATTAAAACACGTATTGTACCGTGTCTGCCTCCTGCCATTATTTACGTTGCCAAGACAACCATGCTGCCATCACAACAACATACAGCCCTGTTGTGCACCTCCTCGTGTCTAGTCGTCGATGTCGAGTCCTGTCGTGCATCTACTCGTGTCTAGTCGTCGTGTCGTCGTAAGATGTCGAGTCCTGTCGTGCATTTACTCGTGTCTAGTCGTCGTGTCTAGTCGTCGTGTTGTCGTAAGATGTCGAGTCCTGTCGTGCATNGTAAGATGTCGAGTCCTGTCGTGCATTTACTCGTGTCTAGTCGTCGTGTTGTCGTAAGATGTCGAGTCCTGTCGTGCATTTACTCGTGTCTAGTCATCGACTGTCGTTGTTCGTTATTTAATTTTATTCATACACTGAATTAAAAATAATCAAAACTTACTTTGTAAGTCATGCTTTTCTCCCGGTTGACGTAAACCCCTCCATTCACGATCTAATGATATCAAAAGTAACGAAAAAGGACACAAGTTTTAGCAAAAAAATCCTATGACAATCCACCACACATGCGAGACCCAGACCAGGCTGATAATAAGATAATAATCTTTACTCTTACCTTATTGTTTGAGCACTGTGCGTAAGGAAGAGTGCTGTTTTTCCACACTAAATCACAATAGACAGATAAGAAGTTATCGTTAATGCGTACATGATATTTGAAATCAAACCACTTAGCTCGTCCGCCCATGCATTAATTCATTATTGTAGAAATACTAAATAAAGGGCTTTTTAATGTCTATTACCTTAATCGCCGTGTATATCTGACCCAATGTATTTATCGTATCTTTCATCTTGTTAGGGGTTTTAAGGTTGCGCGTGGGAGTGTACACCTCTATCTTTACTTTGGCGTAATGTTTTCCCATTTTAGAGCACGTTTGATTTTATTGAGAATAACATTCTGTGTTTGAGTTCCGTGAAACAATTACTAAATAACGCCAAATATAGCGCCTAAAAATATTTAGTTATCATGTATTTAGTTGTAAAATAGACAAAACATATTTGTTTTTTCCAAGGATATATGGCGCGCGTGCACTCTATTCATGCGGTGTCTTCTCATCAAATAAATGGTATTTCTAGGGAATGACACGTGTTCTGAAATTGGAAAACATTACGCCCAAGGTAAAAAGGCCTTTTCAAGCTGCGCAAATCGCCGCATATACAGGAAGATAAATATAGCTAATGCATGGTTAATTGGACCTTGAGTAGTCGCGGTAAAATCCAGAGACCCCTTGTAGCTTTCTGAATAGTCCTACTGCAGCTCGATTTAGAAGACAAAACAGTAGAATTTTATCCTAATAAGAATCGATATTAATTGCACTATCCTTCGTATTGAGCTGCACTTGGACTAGACCCTCTAGTTAAGACAATGCTGTTTTATCTAGGCTTTCATTAATCAACAGATCTTTTAGGCAATTGTTTTTTCCACAAGCAACTATTTGCACAGTAGCTATTTTAAAGAGTATACTACAAGGATTGCGAGGCAATTTTTTATTTTTATTTTCACAGGACAGTAAACAATTTAAAGCATGATTTATAACCAATTTTCCGCGATCAGAGTTTTAACTTATGAGATATTTAAGCACAAATTTGTTGAGATGTGGGCCATAGCAACGGTAACTAAGGGGAGTCGGAACCATGAATAGGTATTAGATATGTCAACTCGTGGTACTCACCAATACTATACACAGCAATTCCTCTTTCATTATTATTACCAACTCGAAAACAAAGTGATTGATTGGACTGCTCGCAGCTAGTCGCATTCACTTCGAAGCAAGATCGTTCGTTTCGGTTTGAGGCTTTGACAGGTTCATTTCCTCCAAAGCAAACAGCTGCAAATATCAAAATACCTTTAAGTTCATTGAAGAAAGTTATAGATAACTATATAGAATCTTATATAGGAAAGAGAGCAAGATCGCGCGCATTTTTTCTTTTTTCTTTTTTTTTTTTTTGCGCGCGAAAGTTTACACAAAATCAATAGGATCATATATCATGGGGAATAGTTAAGTCGCAAAGACAGAAAAATACATTAGACGTTCTCGCATGTACTGTTCTTGTCAAACAATACTAGATGGAAACGTAAACTTATATAGAGGAGATCGTGGGTTTTTTTCATTCTCTTGAGAATTGTTTCTTTGTTGTCTAGTAACCCTTGAAAACATACATACATAGACCTCCTCGGCTCGGGCTTAATGTAATGATTTCCCATTTCAGGCCACGTGTCATTCCCTAGAGTATCATTTCTATGTTTAACGGTTGCGCGTGAGAAGACACATGAATATGGATACAACTCAAACAAAGAATCTTATTCTCAAGAGAATGACACGTGGCCTGAAATTGGAAAGCATTTTAGTCGTAAAAACTAAAATCAGGTCTCGTCCATATGAGGCTCGTTGTCATGACGAAATGAAAATAAAGTACAGCTAGAATATATACTTACAGTAAAACTGAAGAGCAAAATACTTGTAATCCAGATTCAATGCCTTGGTCGCACATCGGCAAACCAATTCATATATCTGAGACTGCCATCCTCCAAAGCTTGCATTGATCAGCGGTGTGTCACGAAATAGTTCTTCGTATCCTAGTGCTTGTTCGTAAGTTGATTCCAGGCTGCCTGAGATATTATAGCAGCCTTGCCATGTAAAGTATAGGTCACAGGGCTCTAGAATCAATTTAAGGACCTAATCATTGATATGCGCTGAATAATCTAATCATATGTTGCGAAATTCAAAAAACATCGCTTTTGGCCGAGTGTGTTGCAAACGTCAAGAGACCTGGGCATCATAGGGGAAAAATAGACTCGGTTTCATGTTATGTCGTTGTCCTGGTTACCGACGTTTCCTCTTGAGCTAAATTATTATTCGTGCACTTATATGGCGCCCTTGTCATAATTTATAAAATGAAGGAAAATTAATGAAAAATAAATAAATAAAATAAAAAATATGAAGATGAAAAAAGAAAAACAGCATAATGTGCGTAAAAATGTACAGGAAAAATAATGGAAATATAAAAAAAACTTTGTAAAAATTCTGTAGCACCTGTTTTGATCGATTTTTAAAATAGCAAGAATATCAGCAGCAAAAAAAAAAAAGAGTTAACTAACCAACAAAAGGAAGGAAGGAACGAGTGAACGAATAAAACATAAAGAATAAAGAATAAAAGAATGTCGAGGGGATAAAAGGGCGGAAGAAGAAGAAAATATGAATAGGAAATGAGGAAGAAAGTACGAAGGAGAAAAAAGAAAAGAACAGCGCAAGCACTGAATTTATAGACGATGTACTAAAAGAAGTAAAGAACTTACGAACCTAGAATCCGAAACACTAAAAGCCGGTCCGACTTGGTAAATTATGATTATTAACACTGAGACTATACCTAGTAAACAAGACGATTATGATATACGATTCTCTTTCTCTCTTATCTACAAATAGGAATAAATGATATCAAGGAAACAGATACCATAGCTATAGTTGTAAAGTTTTTATTCCAATCGGAACAAATCGAGACATGTTGAGTAGAGCACAGCTAGGAACTTTTTGGGAGATGTTCTTAAATCTTGAGATATGTATTCTGCGGTAGTTTCAACGGACCTCCTAGAGTATTTATAGAAACGTCTAAAAGATGAGTAAGCCGATTCAACTGTGTGTAGTTCTCATGATCATTCAATATTATTAAGATTATTAGAGATATAGAATTTCAATGTGAGGACGTTTTGTATATCTTATTTTAGAGAAAACATTAAAGAAATATGAGTAAGGCTGTAGTCCACATTGATCAAGATTATTAAGAATACTTGTTGTTATCTTAATTTGAGGATCGATGTCTAGTTTTATTCAAGTCATTCTATAGAAAGCATTAATTTAAAGAAATATGAGTAAGTCTGTAGTCCACATTGATCAAGATTATTAAGAATACTTGTTGTTATCTTAATTTGAGGATCGATGTCTAATTTTATTCTAGTCATTCTATAGATTGCATTAAAGAAATATGAGTAAGCTTTGTTGTCCACATTGATCAAGATTAATAAGAAGATTATGATTTTTTTTTCTCTATTTCTTTTATTTTTTATTTTATTCTATTTTATTTCATTTTTTATTAAGAGTAAGTCTGTAATCCACATACCATATAATTTTAATTTTTCTGCTTTTATTCATGTAATTTCATAGGAAGCGAGAGCATAAAAGGGTTGATGAATCTGTTTTCTATTAAGATCATTAAGAGTACCATAAAATTTTAATGTGACAATGTCTGGTATTTGGAACAGTAAAGAGTCTTAAAAATGGCGACGAGATTCTTTTTAGGTCGAGTTAAAATTTAATGAATTACTAGGCTATTGCATTCAATCACTTGTGCTCTGGATGAAAAAGAAATGACATGAATCATTTGAATAGATCGCTTGATTATTATTATTATATTTGAATATTTGTACGTATGTATAAAGGTGAAATCGTTGATAAAACACAAACTATATTTCTTATTCTTCTATATACGCACATATTCTAATTCTCATTCTTATTCTCATTCTTATTCTCATTCTCATTCTCATTCTTATTCTCATTCTTATTCAATGTTTTCGTTCGCTTGTTCTTGTTCTCATTCTCATTCTCATTCTCATGCATGCATTCTCGTTGTTATTCAATTTTTTTTCGTTCACTCATTCGTATTATCATTCTCATTCTTATTCTTTTACAATTTATTCTTCCACTCACTTCTTTGGGAATATACTCTGCAAATGTTACTTTTTGATCTTTGTCCTCTTTCTGGCTAAAGAATGTTTACTGTTAAGTAAGGAAGTTCGTAAGGAAGTTCGTCTTTTCGCGACGAGTATATAAGAATATAAGAATGAGGGCCGATTCTAACCATCCAATTATATATTCTATACTTATATAAGGAAACAAATAAATCTGTACTGTGATATATATAAAAGCAAGAGAAGCCCTCAGCTAAACGTCGTCTTCCTAAGTCCCCTTCTCTTCTGCTGCCCTACTGACAAGCTCCCAGAGGTTTTATATCACGATACAGAGACGTACAAGCAGCCGTTTTATATTGCTTTAATAAAATATGTTGAGCGCTATTCAAATATTTTCTAAAAACAATTCTGATAGATTGAAAAATGAGCTGCCCGCTGTTCAAACTCCGTAAATGGGTACATGCTTGGATGCTTGCCTGCTGTACGCGGGATAAACCTTAATATATTCGATCGTTCGAAATAGAATTACCGAAAACGTGCAAAATTAGTCTTTAAATGCACTGATGACGAGACATTGTAAAAACTCTAGAACGACTTGTCTTAACGCATAGACCGATAGAATGATAAATACAGTCATCTCGCTGACGCTTTTCGCGATTTTCTAATAAAAAACCTTCAAATTTTATCGATACCTAAAACAACCAAATTCAAAGATTGAATTGGAATTTAACGTATTATGCTTTGGGGAGGGAGGAAAGCCTGAGAACCAGGAAATAAACACTCGAATTAAGAGAGAGACCTAACAAACTCTACTCATCGAGTCTGGTCGCTTTTCAGCAGCTTGGATTTAAACTTTCGAGTAAGAAAAAACCATTTAATTCTCCCCCAAACCCACCCCCACGTGGTAAAAATTCAATCGTGAACTCATTTTTATGCAGACGTTGCTAGAAACAGCTTTAATCATCAAGGGTTTGGTAAACTAATAACTGACTTGAAACTAATAGGAGCAGAGAAGCACTACCGTGGCGTTTTTCCATTCGATTGAGTTATCTTTAGTAAAAAGCTGAATATGTGTTTTTATACCTGTTTCAAAAAGCGTTGTCGGTTGGAGATCTGAAATCTGAAATCTGAGACTGAGTAACACGCTGCAAATTGTAATAAATTCACAGTCAAACAACGTAGTTTCCTTTTAGACTGGCATATGAAGCATAATCTTTGAGTTATAAATATCATCTTTTGTTACAAAATTCCGTTAAATCTTAGATCTTGCAATTCAGATTTCGGACCGACCAGGCCTTTTTTTGAAATAGGTGTATGCAGATAACAAGGCTTTTTGAGGTTCAGAATAGTACTACCCTAAGGACGTTCATGGGCAAAAGATCCCATCGTCAGATTTTTTGAAAATTTTGCACGATGAAAGAAATCATACTAGAAGTAAAATAAGGAAATAAAAATTAGGGGTCCCCGACTTCGTTTAGTCGTCCGAATGCGGGGAAGTTCACCCTTTTTACGGTAAAAACGCGCGAACAACGTAAGCATGAAAAGGTGTCAAAAAGTAAGTCATATTTTATTGAAAAAATGAATAGGTGGGATTGAAAGCTTTGTTCCTTTAAATGAACACTACATACTGGGGGCGCATGCATATGAATAATTATGGCACCTGCCCTAAAATTGAACCGGAATTTTTTTCTATTTGTCATGTTTTAGGTTAAGTCACTAACTTTGTTATTCCTTTGTTGGATGGAAAAGACATCTATATTCCTATAAGTCTTGACTTAGTTATATTCCTGTGGTATTTTTCGTTTTGGGAATAAATGAACTGTACTGAGTGAAATTAAAAACGAAAACCAATAGACTGATAGTATCCGTCGGAAAATGAAAATTATACCCCAGATTAATTAATACTTGGAAAAGACTGCTCAAAAAAAAAAAAAGGGGGACAAAATATTAGCGTTCTACCAAGGTGTACCCTTGAATTTTCGCTGGAATATACTATAAATCTATCTATATCGTGTACTAGGGGTACTGCCTTGAGATGATTAAGTTCTCTGCTTTCATCTGTCACCATTTGGCTTCAGTGTCTTTGATCATAGCGACCAACCTCGCTTGTTGTTGGCCTGGCTTTTACACAAAAACCGGCGCTTCTATAAAAAAAAAAAGAGAATCCCACTGGGGGACATTCGGATATCGAAACAAGAAAGACTCGTTTAGACGTAGAAAATCGACACAAAAATTAAGATTTTTTTAAGTTTAACATCAAAATCACCGGACAAATATTTAAGCATTTTTACGCGTTACGGTCAACCGCATTGAGACCCTCATCAAACCGTGGACCCTACGTGGAGATTAATGAGCTTCTACCTCCATGACCTCTAAAATTAAGGTTTTTTTCTCAGTTGGCTTCAATGAATAGAATCTAGTCTTTTGCTTCATGCACAAAACAAAGATGGAGATCATTAAAAAATTTCGCTTCCACATTCAACCTTTTTTAAACAGCTTTACAAGAAAAATCCGTCATTCACACAACGTATTCTCTTCAGGACCAATAGCCCTCTTTACCTTGGGCGTAACGTTTTCCCATTTCAGACCACGTGTTATTCCCTAGAGTATCATTTCTTTGTTTAACGGTCGTGCATGAAAAGACATATGAATATGGATCCAACTCAAACAAAGAGTCTTATTCTCAAGGGAATGACACGTGGTCTGGAATGGGAAAACATATAAGGCCCAAGATGAAGATATCAATATCATCGTGTAATCTTAGCACCAAAATATCCAACAAAACTTTTTTTAAATTAAGAGAGTTTTTGTGAATTATTTAATGATAAAACATTGCGACAGTAAAAAATCGTAAGTACATGAGCAGTTTTAGTATGGCTGCATGGTAAGCTTGGTGCCGTAAGCGTGCCTTACCATGAGCGTAATTTTTTCCAGAATTTCGATTGGCTGATTCCCCACCGCCGCGCATTGTGATTGGTCTGGCGTATGCCTTGCCGCTATGTGCCGCGAGCTTTTCACAGTCTTACGAAAAAAACGCGACTTTTCAAAGTGTACAACACTATCATTATCGAGAAAAGGAATTCGAATAAATAAATAATTATAATTAATTATGACTATAAATTAAAAAACAGGCCATCATAAAACGTAAAAAAAAACTTATGATAAAAACTAAGATAAAAAGTCACAATAACTGCTGGATTGCAGTTCATATTAGAAACAACCCACAGACAACCTCAGCTTACCGACATGATAGTTCCTCTCTCAGTGGTTAAAGCATCCGTGATAGATTACGGAAGGTCGTGGGTTGAAATCCCATCTGGAACTCATCGGATTTTGTCTGTGTTTTTTCTCTTTCACCTCACGCCATTCATTCATTTTATTATCATACGTAATATGTCTCGTATTCGTTCTAAGATAAAAAGGAGGAAAACGCCATATGGACAACAACTAAGTGAAACTTTCGTACGAATGGAGTCGCTCTGAGTGTCGAGTTTCAAAGGCTTTAAGTCTCTATTAAATAGCCTTTCATAAAAAGGCCGTCGAAATTCAGAACTTAGACATTCTGATTGAGAAGTATAATGGCTGCCATTCACGAATATTGAAACTAGGCTTCTTGTCCTTAATGGATAATAGCATTTCATAAAATCAAGGAGGCAGTCGACTTTAGAATCCCCCTCCCCTCCCCTCCCCCCTCCCCTCCCCAGCTTTATAGACTAACTAGCTTCCTATTAAAGTATAGTGATCATTTTGGTCCAAATTTCAGGGCCTCAGGCGGATCAAAACTAGACTGAATAGTCAATAGAGGTCTTCATCTAAGACCACAGCTTATAGAAACCTTCGTGAGAGCCACATCTCGGTTATCACTCAAAAACCTGTAAAATCTAACCTTGAGCTTTGAACTTTAGGCTAGGAAAATTCAATTTACGTTTTGCAATCATTGGCCAAGGTCTCAGTTCATGGGTTTTTATGGAAAAAAACTTTTGCTCCAACATAATATAGTGGTTCACACTGAAGGAGTTCATTTCCTAAGTAGTTAAATATTGCAAATACAACGATCTTTTACCTTTTTCTTTCTTTCTTTCTTTCTTTCTTTCCTTTTTCCCCCACTCGAAAAAGTAAATACTAAGGTTGGGATTTTTTTTTATCCATATGACCATAACCATAATAAGAATTGGTTTTATTCCTTTACATTTAATTTAACCAAGGCATTTTAATAGTATCGTAGACACAGCAGTTTTTTTTGCAGTTGGTCTCTTGATTACTTAGCTTATTGAGGGAAATAAATAATTTTTCTCGAAGGTTCTTTCGTAAGTTCTTAAGCTAGACAACTCAGTGGACCGGTAACTATAGCAATAGGTTTGCAAGTAGAACATCCTTTTAAAACAGCTCTACATCTTTGCACGAGATATTTAACTAAACAAAAAATTACCAGTGTTTATCTCTAAGCATAGAATAATGATAAATTTTTCATGGGGATTTGATTTATTACATGCAGGCTTCCCTACATTTACTAGACAAAACTATCTTGTTGGTGATGCCAACGAATGTGCTAAAATTTTCAAAACCAATTGTTTCATGAATAAACAAGTTTATGAGAGCTCTATGCTCGAACGTTCTTTTTTAGAATCTTTTCTTAGAGAAGCATACAGTTCAACCCGGTTTCCAGCTGTTTATATCTGGAGAACTTCCTCCCACTTTAAGAGTCTTTTCTTTCTCAGGGGCTATAGTTCTGCATGTTGAATTTGTAGAATAGCTTTATTTTCCGAATTATTAAAATCAACTTTCATGCATGTCTCAATCCTAATATAGTTTTCCTTTCAAATATATTTAGAATTTCATTAAATACAAGCAAAAAAAATTTGAATTTGAAAAAGAAAAAACTCAACGCGGTTCTTTTGATGCGTTAAGGTTTGTATATTTAAAAACAGGTACAAGGATTAGCATTACTTCTTTAATGTTTATAATATTGTAACAAATCATAAAAACATTAAAAAAATATAACCAGATACTTTTGTTTACTCTTCCTCTTCCTTTATTATTGTTTTGGCGTAAAGCAAAGTAACCAAAAAAAATCTTGAACACTTGTCGTTGCACATTGTCATAGATATATATGTGTTCGGTACGAGAGATGAATTCCTAAGGACCATATCTTGCAATATTATTTATCAAGTTCAATATAAGTAAAAGATTCTAAGCGAATAACCATTAATATTATTAGGTTGGTGGTGTAGTAGTGAGATGGCTCGACGTGCAAACACTCCTATTGAAGTTGTCGGTTTGGGAAGCACGGATGGCTCAGTGGCGAGAGTGCGCTCGCCTCCCAATATTACGACCAGTTCGATTCTCGTGCTCGTTGTCGTATGTGAGAAGAGTCGTTTGTTGGTTCTCTCTCGTCCTTCTAGGGTTTTTCTCTGGTTTTCCTCCCTCCCCTCACAAAAATCGACTTCATTCCAATTCAATCACAAAACGAAGAGCCAAAGGTTCGTTAGATACTGGCTATTAAGTGCTACCCATTGTTTTCTATTCTCTACTGCCCTTTGAGCGTCTTCTCCTATTTACTATGGTTTTTCTCCCTCCAAAATTAAAGATTCAACTTCTTAATCTTACGAGTTTCCGATCATATTAAAAAATACAATAGAAGTTCGTTTCGCGCTATTATAAATTTTCCCATCCACAATCAAGAACAATATATATTTTTTATTTTCATTTACACTTAAAATTTAATGTGATATAATACTTATTATAAACCTCTTAAATTTGCACAATAAATAATATTCTTAAAAAGAACACCGACTTTCTAGCTTATGCCGACTGAAATATTTCTTGAAAAAATACTGATAAATATACGTACCGATTAGTTTTATTAGTTGGTTCACATTGCTCACAAAAATTCATTCCGTGAATGAGTCGCTTTGAGTAATGCAAGATACTGACCAAAATCTATAACATATATTTGAGTGTCCTCACCTTGTAAAGGATAAAGGAACAACCTATTATTATCGATGAAGCGCAGAACTGCATGTTCAACTAGATATTCTTGTAGATCTTTGACCACAACTTTAATTTCTGCTAGGACACGCAAACGCTTTGGAAATGTTAACTGGTATAAATTGACATCTTAATTGGTCTTCTAACATATTAGTATTTGGCGATGCTCTCGCTAATAAATTAAGGTGTTTTTGTTCTTCGGATTCCTTTTTTCTATCTCATGTTAAGAGGGACTTTCAATATTTGCGCGATTTATTACTGCACAACTCACCGTTACTCCCTGGTTTGCATTGCGTGCTTTGAGCGGTGAAAACCTGCAAGAGAGATCAAAAATTCTTTAAAAATTAAACTTTTCCCATGCCAACGAGAATTTTAAATGTGAAGAATACAGATTGGTTATCAAAAAATACCTGTTGAGAAAGGAAAAAGACCACATGCACTACGAGTACCGCGTCCACGTTCATTTTAAATCAATTCCATCTTAAGAACAAGCCAACAGTGGAAAGGAAACTGAACGCGACCAACCTCTCAGCTCTTACTGAATTATTTCTTTCTGTTCTCTTGTTTATTGAATACGTTGAAAGCTGTCGTCCCAAAACCAAACTGAGGGGTTAGATAAGTGACGAGTAGCTTAAATAGGCAATAGCATATTCATAAAACCTTACGGCAGCACTCATTATTCTTAATTGCTCTTCAAGACCATAGCCATCTGTTTCAACATCATGAGTGCTTGATCATACCACAGAGGACTGTCGCGACCATTGGTTTGGGATCAAAATTGAACATTACTTTAAAGTCGACCCTGAAGAAAAATCCAGAAACGTCAGTGTATGCTTCGTTGTGTAAATATTCTGCTCTCAAGGGCACGTACAGAGGTGTTTGTAAACATTTGTTATGACGAAAAAGTCACTGCAGACATTGGTGATCTTCATAATTGGTAGCAAAAAAATCCTAAAGGGTTAAAAACAACAAGCGAAAATGAATTTTTTTTCTCTTTTCATTAGAAACACGTGTATGCATAATGATTTGGACTCAATTCGATTACCCGTCGTAATCAAGCATATCCTCTCTATGTTAGGCTTTTATATACGTCAGCTCAACGGATGCAAACAATTATGAATTCAAATGATACCCTCGTTTATCTTTGCATTTCAATTGCTCATTTGTAAAACTAATATTCACGGTCTTTTGACAACAAAGCATAATAAATCTAAGATTTAATTTAAGGTGCAAAGATAAAAAGAATAGATGGAAGCACTATTATTATGAATCCTACTTAGGATAATTTTCACTTTCAAAGCCACAATAACATGTCGTATGCCAGCGAATTATCCACTGATCCGAATGGCGTATCATCAAAAGAATATGTCTATACGATAGCGCTATTGACAGAAGCGTCAAAAGAGAAATTTCGACTGAACTTTGTCAGTTAATGAATCAAGGGATTAAGCTTTTAGTTTATTAGGAGAGCATTTAGTACTAAAACGATCGCAATTAGAGCAACGTTAAGAAGATTTCGATGTATTTAAGTCTCATATTCCCCTAAAAGATGTATGAGTAACGTTTAGATGGTTCGGGTCCGGTCGACTTGCGCTTGCATCTCCTCTCTTCATAATGAGAACATGCCTATAACCTTTTTTTCGGCTTTCGTCTGCTTGCGACGCTAGCTTGGCGGGGAAGGACGGAATTGCACTGACAGATCACGTGCCCCTTCCCTCTTAAATTGAGCAGTTGTGTCAAAAGGACCAACAGAAATGAAAAGAGCACCTCAATATTAGTAAGAAGGCAACTTTTCAGCTCACAATTCAAATCAGTGATCGATGCATGGGGCGCATTTCGAAGAAAAGTAAGAAAAGTAGCCTTCAATCTACATAAAGTAGATAATGTAACCAATCGAAATAAGGGATCCGTAACAACTCTCGGGGTTGTTTATAACTTTTGCCGACAAATATTAATTAAACTCTTATGGGAAACTGAAATAGACTCTGGGCTGATCTAAGCCTTGGAATTTACCGACAGAATTATCTGCGCAAGCTGAACTAAAACATAATTTCGGTTTATGGATGACATCCTAACTTAAGTGACATACACTGTTTTGTATGATAGTCGGTATTACGGGCACTTGACTTTTCAATTATTTCTATATATCAACCTATTTTTGGCCTATCTCCACCGCATTTTCCAATAGCTAATGGAATCTCGAGCCTGCAGTCTAATGTTGTCTTCTTTTGAAGGTCTATTTTACAAGCAAGGCTAAGGGGTCAACAAGTATGGAAACTGAAACCGCTGACAACCATAAAATCCACCCACAGGGGAATCCAGTATTGGTTGGTTTTTAAGAATTCGAAGGAAACTGATTTAGAAATTGAAAATTGAAAAATATTATATAAATACTAATAGTATAGATAGCACGCCGAAACTACAATCAAGCTGGGCAACATACTAATAGAAAGAGTATACCTGACAAGTATACCGCCTCAGTAATCCCCATTTACCGATTCCCAGTGTCTTGGCGGAGCCCTGTCCAATTGATTCAGAAGTTTTTTGTTTGAGAACTCAATATCGTTATTCCGCTTTAGAAAAGGTGCGTTTTCAAGTGGCATATTCGGCAGATACGTGTGGATGGGAGACAAATCCCCAAAGAAAAAATATCTAAAAATATCCGGATGCCATGGACCGGATTTAAAATCCCGCAAACTAGATTCGTTCTAGATTCGTTCATAAAAGCTTTTCAATGTTAGTCAAAATAAGTCGAGAGTATATCCACGAGGATTCCAGTGACACTCTTCCCAATGGCATCAATGTTAAATGCATCTTTTTCGGGGAGACAAGTGGGAGAGGCGATTTATTATGGTTACAAGAATTATTGGGGTGACCCCTTACAGATCCCTTATTTGCGCAAAGCTAATTCTCTATGAATTGTTGTTTGCGCATTTGATTATATCAGTGTATAGAATGGACTACTTCGACGATACGGCGGCCATCTTGAATCGCAAGGCATTATGGAGCGTCCAGGGGCCAAATAAAGCTTTGTTACAGTAATGACGTCGACAAAAGATGAATTAAGACAGCACATCGATCACATTTAAGAAACGCTTCTCAAGCTCACTAATAATTCATGAGGTCAATAACCAATGGCGACTTTGCATTGTAGTCACGTGTACGCACAACGCACGAATAAACGAAAAATTGCGAAGGAATTTTTAGTCTCACGAGATTCAAGAACAAATGAGTTATGATGAGATTGAGAAGTCAGTTCTGCCTAACGGCCTCGTGCTTTCATCTGTTTCTCGGTGTTTGGATGCCCTGATCAAACATTAAGCACTCGTTTTTGATCTACGTTTTTGATTTACATGAAATTTTTTATATTTTTCGTCATCCTGAATGGCGTTTTTTCTTTTCTTTTCTTTTTTTTTTTTTTTNTTTTCTTTTCTTTTTTTTTTTTTTTCCTGCCCCCTGGCAAGATGGTCGCCGTATCTTCGAAGTAGTCCATTCGTGCAATATTACAAGTTATAAACTTTATTACTCGTTTCTTTTCATTTAACGTGGCTTCATTGACAGTTAACATAAATTCTTGATGCTCAGATATATGTTGTTAATTACGCTGTCGATTGAAGGCTATACCATATTAACACGTTATCTGACATTTATATAAATGAAACCATCTTTGTTATAAATAACTTAGTGGATTATTAAAAATCCTGTATTCTGATCAACTAGGTACTTGTGTCGCTTTAAGGCGGGATATTTCTCAAGTAGAGAGAATATAACAGAAACACTGGCAATTTTCCCGCGTTTTTTTATGAGGTTTTTGACATGGCTTTCCTGTTTCCGGCAAGAGTTTAAAGTTTCGTGCTTAGATACTTAGACACTGGCGCCGTTATGGAATTGATATAGCAGGATAGTAAATGCAGTTAGTTTTTTAACTGCGCCTCGCAGACTATGGAAAGAAAAATAAAAGGGCGGCCGCCTATTCTTTGCGCAGTAAAAGCCTAATTATCGATACCCTGAAACAACCTCTTCGTTGATCAAATTCAGAGCACGGCTAACTCTCGGATCGTCGAAATTGGAATTTAGCATGTTAAGTTTTACGTGGGGAGGAAACCCGTAGTAAACGCCTGTCAAAGGAGAAGCCTTATCAACTCTATTCACATATGATGGTGAGACCCTAGAGGCGAAAGTCAAACGCACTACCGCTACGCCATCCTTGATTCCCTATGTTCTACTTTACCATTTTTTGGTTCCATCGACTTCGTTTTGCCTTTCAGTCTGAGCTTTCATGGTTTAGAAACCATACACACGGTAAATTAAATTGAAGATCGTGTAATACCGACATAACGTAGATTTATATTTATGAAATTTCATAAGCACATGCGCTAAGCTTTGGACTTCAGATTAAAAACTCTTAACATGCTGCCAATGTCGAAATTACGATTAAAATCGTAGCGTTTGGCATGTTACATGATTAAGTTATTCGCGCAAGCGTTGCGCGAAAAACTTCGAATGTCGTGGCGGTAAGACACGGGCAACAAATTCAAATTGTAACTTGTTGCACAGCACTGCTGCGCTTAAGTTGTAGAGCGTAATAATGTTGTTAGTTCTAACGACTCTTCGAGCAATGTGTGTCGAGTAGGAGAAGCTTCGTTTTGCTTCGCGCAATAAGCTAACGCGGTCGCGCGCGGTCGATTAGTAACAAAACTTACAGCGCAATAATGTTGTAAGACGATTGTTTGATCTTGGATTTTGCAAACAATTCCCTACCTTCATCCAAAACGGTAGAGCAGCGGGAAGTGCAAGTGAAGCAAGGTGCTAAAGATGATGAATTCCAGCTTGTGGTTTAGAGCTTTTAAAGCCACGCAACTACGTACGCTCTTGAGTGAAGACCGTTCCGAACCTTACCTACTGATAGCCAGCCAGAGCGACCTTTCTCTTTTATACCGACACACTACATCGATCAATTAATGTCACTTTCTTGCATGAGATGAATTTCACTTTAGCTTGAAGTAAGAAGTCATTAACAAGCTTTCACCATATATGATTTTCAAGACAGTTTGGGGCGTGAAAGAAAAGAACTTCCTCCGCAAATCCTTTTAACGTGAATAAAGTTTAGACTTTTTTCCGGTAAAACGATACTCAGATTTCCGAACTAAACGGTCTTCGCAGAAGCGTTCATATCGGATTTTTTTCGCTTCCGGCCTCGATTTTCTAAGTGTTCCTATTTTTTCCTCAACAGACCTTGTTAGCTTCTTCGTTTGCTGTGCACAGCATTTCAGACCATGTGATGCCACTCTTGGGAGTTGATTCTTTCCTGTGTAAATACTTTAACTTATTTTTTCCGGTCCGGTATCCTAAAAAAAATCGAGCGTTCTGATTGGCTGTTTGAGCGGGCGGTATTTTGTCAGTATCTGCACGCGCTCGCGGTCCGGTATCCTTTGCCGCTAAACAACAAAACAAGAAGATAACGGGAAAAAAAGTTATTTATAGTCCTATAGTCGGTCCGGATAGGGAAAAACCGGACCTCCTGGCCGGTAAATAACATATATATGTTCGTCATAAAAGAACAATTCTCAAGGGAATGTCATGTGACCTGAAATGGGCAATTTGCGTACCAAGCTAAAGAAAGTCTATTAAATCGAGATAGTTAGCTCTTTAATGATCAAAAAGTACTTCAAAGAATCTCTTATCTTAATTTTTTGTTCGTTTTGAAACTGAAAGGATTTCACAAATTTCCATTCCATTAATCTATCTTTAGTATTGATCATTAATTTTGTTCGATCTGGAAAGGATGCGTATATGATCATCTACTATGCTCATTTTTGCCAAAGGCTGAACCGCTAAAGGAACTATCTATCGTCCCAATGTTGATCAAAGTTCCTACCGATGACAGAGACTAATAGCATTTTAATTTTTTTTTCCTTTTTTTTTT